TGTCAGCACAGGGCAGGGCCCTCCCTCCGCGGCTGTGTGCACCTGAGCCTGCGCCCACCTGACCCTCTGCCCACCTGTGCCTGTGCCCACCTGACCCTCTGCCCACCTGAGCCTGTGCCCACCTGAGCTCTGCCCACCTGACCTGCACCCACCTGAGCCTGCACCCACCTGACCCTGCGCCCACCTGAGCCTCTGCCCACCTGACCTGTGCCCACCTGACCTGCACCCACCTGAGCCTCTGCCCACCTGAGCCTCTGCCACCTGACCTGTGACCACCTGACCTGCACCCACCTGAGCCTCTGCCCACCTGATTTGTGCCCACCTGAGCCTGCGCCCACCTGAACCTCTGCCCACTTGACCTGTGCCCACCTGACCTGCGCCCACCTGAGCCTCTGCCCACCTGAGCCTGTGCCCACCTGAACCTCTGCCCACCTGACCTGCGCCCACCTGAGCCTGCGCCCACCTGAGCCTCTGCCCACCTGACCTGCACCCACCTGAGCCTCTGCCCACCTGAGCCTGCGCCTACCTGACCTGCGCCCACCTGAGCCTCTGCTGCACGATGACCGCGGTCCGGCGCGCCGGCCGCCGCTGGCCGCACCTCCGGTAGCTGCGGTAGAACTTCTGGATGAGCACGGCCGCGCGCCGGCTCTGCTGGAACTTCTTCTGCTCGTAGTAGCTGCGGAACTTGCTCTGGATCAGGATGGCGGCCTGGGTCATCTTCTTGTACAGCGCGTACTGCGGAGACAGAGGCAGAGCGTGACCACGGGAGCGAGCGCGCAGGGCTGTGCTTGGCTCTTGGCGAGAAGTCACTCTCCCCTCGCCGTGTTCTCCGTTTCCGGCTTAACTGCCAAACAGGCCCACCAGGCCTCTCTCCACCTACCTTTCCAAAACGAAAAACATTACCTAATGGTCACCTCCCGACGATGTATTGCTTTTTTAAGGTGCTTTGTTCCCTCCAAATCCCCAAATATATTGCCCTTCTTGAAAAAAGAATTTTTTTTAAAGATTTTTCTAAAATTGATTTTAGAGAGGAAGGGAGAGGGAGAGAGACAGAAACATCAATGATGAGAGAGAATCATTGAGCGCTGCCTCCTGCACGCCCCACACTGGGGGTTGAGCCCGCAACCCGGGCATGTGCCCTGACCGGGAATTGAACCCTGACCTCCTGGTCCATAGGTCGACACTTAACCACTGAGCCACACCGGCCGGGCAGAAAAAAAGAATTCTCAATAGCAATCCACTTAGACACTTAGGAATCTTAGAAACACACATGGAAAGTAAATGTTAAGTGTTTAAGATGAATCCTTGCTCCCCACTCTTGGAACCTTTTTAACTACCCGCCGTTATGCCTCCCACTCCCCCCTCACTATCAGCCCATCAGCAAACTCCCGAGTTACAAGGTCCCAAACACAAGGCTTATCATGAAACGCTGACACCTTCGAGCCACTTTAACCTGCGGGAGATGAGCACTCAGAGGGCCAACGCCAGGCGAAGCCGCGAGGCCCGGAAAGCCGTTGTCACCGGGCCAACCGGGCCGGCTCGGGCGCTGGCAGCTGGGCTCAGGGAGGGAGGAAGGCACGGGAGCAGGAGCCCCGTCCCTCTCTGTCTCCGGGCGCTACAGACTCAGAGCTCTCCGTCCGTAAGAATCTACGTCCACGTTGCTCAGGAAACAGAATACGACTGGGGGGGGGGGCGAGGAAGCGCTCGGCTTGCAAGAGGGCAACTTACCATCGGAGGGAAACGCTCGCAGGACATCCCTGCGCCTAGTGTGTCTGCATGTATGCGGTGGAATGAGGGAGGGAAGGGGCCTCCCGGGCTGTGCAGGACACAGGGCCCTTCTGCAGGGACCTTCTCGCCTAACCCCACCTGCTTTACACTCCCATTCCTCCAGGAGTTTTTGTTTTTTTTTAAATATATTTTATTGATTTTTTTACAGAGAAGAAGGGAGAGGGATAGAGAGTTAGAAACATCGATGAGAGAGAAACATCGACCAGCTGCCTCCTGCACAATCCCCACTGGGGATGTGCCTGCAACCAAGGCACATGCCCTTGACCGGAATCGAACCCGGGACCCCTCAGTCCGCAGGCCGAAGCTCTATCCACTGAGCCAAACCGATTTGGCCGTCCAGGAGTCTTTTAAGACAAGGGCGCCGGGTCCCACAGCGCCTCGGGGGCTTCCCGGCGGCGTGCCCTGGGAGAACGGGCAGTTTACTTTGTGGCTCACGGGGCTCACGTCACTGGCTGGGATGGGCTCTTCAGATGGACATCAGCCCAAACAGTGTCCAGTTATGGCTACTGAATAAGCATGAGGTCCCCGGAGGACAGACGCCCTGTGGTCAGCTGGCCTGGCAGGGGAGGTGGGGGTGGGGATGGCTGATTCATGACCCTGCCATCGGAATGGCCCCTTCGTGTCGCTGGTGATGGGAGTGGAGTTTGTGACTCTGGTGGAATGGTTTGTGAGAGGACTGGGTGTGGCATTACCTTCAAGACTATCCATGTCAGCTTTGGGGGAGAAACAGAGAATACAAGATTAACGTTAGATCGCTCGACGGAAGGAAGCTGAAAAGCCAGAACCAATGACACTCCCACCACCGCCACCACCAGCCGAAGGGCGCGCTGGCTGGATCCAGGCCTCCGTCTTCCAAAAGACTTGCCTCCTATGGGGCAGTATTTCAGTAAAGGATGCCTTCCGTCCTGCTGGCTGTAGATGACACTTCTTTGGGATGGATTTAAAAAAAATAACCACTCAGAATACCAAACTACTAAACTCAGATTTGGGAATAGATCCCTGTCGTCATCACAGGCTTGAAGCTCTGATTCTGGGTGTCTATCGCTTGTGCGAAGAAGCCCGCCCGCCAAGAGAAGCCCGTGCGCAGAGCAGCGCCCCCTGCCGCCGGGCTGCGGGAACTGCGGTGTCAGCGTTTACACAATAAACCTTCATTTTCTGGGATCATGAACTCAACTGGCTAAAGCTGAAGAGGCCCCCTCCCCCACCCCACGCAGGAACAGAGCGTAATCCCAGAGAAACTCGACAAAAGGCAACCCACATCGGACACCAAAGCCCTGGATCATATCGAGGGAACATCATCCCAAATTTCTACATGGCGATTATACACCTCGGCATTGAGCAGGCCCCCAATACACATTTAAAACCCACGAAAAGCACAACCCGATAGAAGGTTCCAGAATCTACCGACAGGACTGAACTTTAGCACATGAACCACTCAAAGCTCCATCAGGCAACGTCTTCTATTTTCTAACCTCCCCGGGATGGTTACAAAGATCTAACATTTTAATTTCTCTGAACCTCAGCTTCTTTGTCTGGAGGACGGAAATACAGTTGTTTCCCTTAAATGATGGTAAGGAGTGGGTGAGACGATGCGCCTGGAAGACCTGGTCCCTCTGAGAGTCAGCCCCCTTCCCTCTGGTGGCAGCTCTGTGGCTGCGGGTTGTCCTGGAAACAGTCACAGGGCAGCCAAGAGCCGTGCTGCCCTTCCCGCATCCCTTCCCTGAGCGCTGCAAACGCACGTTAAGATTCTCAACGACATTTGTGATCCTTCACCATAAAATGCGGAAGAAGCAGCTGCAAGGGAAACTGGCTGAGGATGACATAACTTAGATAGTTCAAGGTCAAGGACGACAGCCAGCACTGACCTCCAGCCGCCACAGTCAACTCCGTGAGGCCCTTTCCTCACCACGGGGCTTATGGGTGAAGTTATGGCAACACAGACCCGCACAGACCAATACCAAAGGCCAAACACTGGAACAGAAGTTATTCTGTGGCCTATGTCTAGTTGCCGTTGGATGTTTTTTTTATCCTTTTCTCTTTTCCTCCCTCTCTGGAACATTTTCCTCCTGTTTTTAATCAAGGCAGCTCAGAGGCGGCCCTCGTCCTGGGCCGGCCTGCCGCCCCCGGCAGCCCCCCAGGAGTGTCCTCGGGCGCAGTCCCCGGGGCCCCGCAGGTGGTTACCTGTTTGTACTTCCTGTAGCAGCGCTGGATGACGGCAGCGGCCACTTCCTGCTGTTCTCGCAAGGGTCGGCCTGCGGGGGGTCGGGGGGAAAGTAAACCGTGACTCAGTATGAGAAATGTGAGCCCGCCTGTGGCTTCGAGAGAAGCATCGCCCATTTCATTAACTTCATCAGAACTGAGACCCCCAGTGTTCACCAAAACACGGTGATAATGAGAAGTACACATTTCAAAAAATGGATTTACAGACTAATCCCCATTCTTGCTTCTAAATAGAGCCATCATATCTGGGTGTTAGGTGACCTAAAAAACATATTCCTTTTTGCCCGGCCGGTGTGGCTCAGTTGGTTCAGCGTTGTCCCATGCACCAAGAGGTCACGGGTTCGATTCCCCATCAGGGCACATGCCTGGGTTGTGGGTTCTATCCAAGTAGGGGGCATGCAGGAAGCAGCCAATAGATGTTTCTCTCCCTCTCCCCTCCCCTCTCTCTAGCATCAGTGAAACCATATTTTAAAAATATGTTCATACTCAGAGTATGTAACCCATCAGGGAAGGTGCCATGTGCCCGGGACCTGACCGAGCTCCTCTGTGTCCTCTGAGACCCCAGGCCTCCACCAACACTGCACATGCAGATGCTTCACCGTAGCATTTTAGGGGTCCTGGGCTGCCCGAGGCCAGGTCCCAGGCCTCCAGTTAGAAGCCCCCTCTTTAGGCCATAAATTCCTGTGGCAGAGGCGTCAACTTTCTTCATATCAACTACATAGTAAGTGTCTGTTTTCATGACCCACAACAAATTGAGATGATGACAATCATCACACTACTGGTCAAATTGATGTCACTAAAGCTTCTGAAAATTATTAATAATCTCAGGTGACATGAATTAATAATTCAAATAAAGATCCTACAAACTCAGAGGGAAGAAAGAAATGGCCCTAGTCGGTTTGGCTCAGTGGATAGAGCGTCGGCCTGTGGACTGAAGGGTCCTGGGTTCGATTCCAGTCAAGGGCACATGCCTGGGTTGCAGGCTCGATCCCCAGTAGGGGGCGTGCAGGAGGCAGCCAATAAATGATTCTCTTTCATCATTGATGTTTCTCTCTCTCTCTCCCTCTCCCTTCCTCTCTGAAATCAGTAACAATGTATTAAATAAATAAGTAAATAAATAAGAAATGGCCGGTGTGTTAGCGGGAATGCTCATGACCTCCTCTACCTCCCGGGCCTGAAGAAGGTCCCGTCAGGACTCCGATCCCCTTTACCTTGTATTTCCGGAAGGCGGTCTGGACGAGCCTGGCGGCTTCATAGAGCTCGCGCTGTTCGTGGTCAGACAGAGTGAGCTGGGCGAACTCATTCTCCACCTTCTCGCTGGTGGACGCGCTCAGGAACTCCGACCAGTCCGCCGCGGAGGGCAGGCTGGGCTTCTCGAAGGCCATGTCGCTGGCTGGAGAGCCCCCGGGGCTCAGGCTGGTGTTGGAAGAGGGGGTTAGAGGCTCGCTATACGCGCTTCTGGAACGAGAGGGGACACGGGGGAGGCGTGATCCATCTGCACGACCCACGACGCGCTGACGTGAGACAGATGGGAGCCGCCAGGAGCCACGGGGGCTGTTAGGAATGTGCTTTCATTCCGGGGCTGAACACACCCGACTTTAACTGTCCTTCCGTCAGCAGGTTCACACGGGACACCCACCATGCGTTCAGCACGAGGCTGAACACTAAACCCACCGAGCACCCTGCCCACGGAAGTCCAGTGACTCTGGGGGGAAACCTTAAGATTTGCTGTTTCACAGGCTCTGAGACGGGGAGAGAAACCGTGGAAGAGGCAAGGACGGGAGCCCCAAGGCTTCCTCACTTAAAAAAAAGTGTCTTTATTGCTGACAGTATTACAGACGTCCCTTCTCTTTCCCCCATTTGCCTTCCCCCCTGCACGCCCCCAGGCCTTCCCTGCACTCTCGTCTGTGTCCATGGGTTATGCAGATCTGCATGTAAGTCCTTTGCAAACTGCGGCTCGAGAGCCACATGCGGTTCTTTGGCCCCTTGAGTGTGGCTCTTCCACAACATACCACGTGGGGGCGCGCACGTACAGTGCAATTGAAACTTCGTGGCCCATGTGCAGAAGTCGGTATTTTGTGGAAGAGCCACACTCACGGAGCCAAAGAGCCGCATGTGGCTCACGAGCCGCGGTTTGCCGAGCCGCAGTTTGTCAACCACTGGGTTAATCTCTTCTCCTCACCCCTCCCCTCTGGGATCTGTCAGTCTGTCCCATGCATCTATGTCTCTGGATCTGTTTCGTTCGTTTATTTTGTTCGTTAGATTCCACATGCGTGAGACCATGTATACGCGTCTTTCTCTGACTGGCGCACTGAGCTTAGCATGAGGCTCTCCAGGTCCCTCCAGGCCGTCCCCCAGGGCGAGAGCCCCTCCCCTTCCACAGCTGCACAGTGTTCCGCGGTGTAGATGCCCCGCAGCCTTTACACACTCATCGGCTGACGGTCGGCAGCTTCCTCCCTCGCTTAGTGAGGTCTAACCACCCGGCATCCTCAAACCCGGCTCGCCTCCCAGGCCCTCAGACCCAGGAACTTCTCCCGCCGTCGGACCTGAGCTGGGCGGCATGCGGCAGGTGGTCCACGTCCGCCAGGTAACTGGCCAGCCAGCTCATGGTGCTGCTGACGGTGGCCGCCTCCGTCCTCTCCAAGGCCGGGGCCTCCGTGGGCACGAAGTTCTGCTTGATGCGCTCGGGCGTGGCCTCGATGATGTGCTCCGCCAGGGCCATCATGTTCACCTGGAACGGGGCGCAGGGCATCGGGTTCGAGGGACGCAGAGCCCGCCACCGCCCGCCTCGGAGAGGAAGGACGAAGGGATCGGCTTACCCTCCCCCAACCCACTCCAGTGTCCCTGTCAAGCTTTACACCCTTCCCCCCATTACCTCCAAGTCCTATTTTTTTAAAATATATTTTTACTGACTTCACAGAGGAAGGGAGAAAGGAGAGAGAAACATCAATGATGAGAGAGAATCACTGATTGGCTGCCTCCTGCACGCCCCATGTGCCCTGACTAGGAATCGAACCGTGACCTCCTGGTTCATAGGCCGACGCTCAACCACTGAGCCACACCGGCCCGGCCCTCCAAGTCCTATTTTGGCTAAAACCTTAGTCGTCTTACAGCTGTCCGGGCTGGTGCCTGCTCACTCCTCTCAGCTGGGGTCACCCTCTGAGTGGCACTGTGACTGGGCAGTTCTTCAGCAAGTTGTATGAATGGGGTGACACCAGGGGCTACCTCACCCCTTAGCCTGGAGAACCCCAGTTCTGTAGGGACCAGCCCCTCGGGCACAGCTGGTGGGTGATAAGCAGTTATGATCACCCTCTTCTTGATTTCCCACCTTCCCATGCACCCAGGGACCTGCTTCTGGACAATGAGCCTCTACAGAAAAGTAATTTTTAAAAATTAAATCTCTCTAGTTAGGTTGCTGAGATTTGCACCCCAAACACATTCCTAATAGTTACGTCAGGAAGCCTCAAACGAGTCTGGAGGGAGACATGTTTCCAGAATTAGAGACAGACCTTGTTTTTAAAACATCCTTGCACATCTTTTGATAATGGAACGTGAAACACAACAGTTGAAGGTTTTGTTAAGCCTCACCCGAGGATATTTTTCCATTGATTTTTAGAGAGAGGGGAAGGGAGGGGGAGAGATGGAGAGAGAGAAACATCGATGTGAGAGAGATACATCCATTGCTTGCTTCCCGACTGCGCCCCAACGGGGACCGGGGATCCAGCCTGCAACTGAGGAACGCGCCCTTGACCGGAATCGAACCTGCGACCCTTCGATCTGAGGGCTGATGCTCTAACCACTGAGCAACCGATCAGGGCAAGAGCTGAAGTCTGTAAGCGGATCTATGCAAGGGTGACAAAATGCTTATCTTACGACACAAACCTCAAAAACACTCTGCTGAGGGAAAGAAGCCAGACACAGAAGACCACATATTTTAGGATTCCATTTCTACAAAATTTTTAGAAAAAGCAAAACTCTGGGGACAGAAATCAGATCCATGGTTGCCTAGGGCTGGGACGGAGCGGAGTGACGGCAACCGACACAGGGACGTGGGGTGAAGGGGGAGCTCTCGGGGGGCCCTGGCAATGGTTGCACCGCTGTGTCCCTTCACCAAACCCCGTCAGTGGAACGTAGGAAGGCTGAGTATTATGCATGTTCCATACATCTCAACCAAGCTGCCAAACACACGTATCTTGGGCAATTTTCTACATAGAACAACAACTATTTCTGTAACAGGGATAAAAATGAAGACATTTAGGGGGAAATATCACAGCTTTTCTTTCCCTTTGATATTGGCTCTTGATTTGAGGAGGAAGTAGGTCCTACTTTTATTTTCTTTTTCTACCAGGGAGGTATTCAAATATTTTATTCAAAGCGAAGTGGAATTTCTGGAGACTCAGGAACCTGGAGCCTGGCACTATTGTCCCCCCCAAATCCTCCGTTTTGTAACTATGTGGCAGTGTGAGAACAGCTCAAGACCCTCAGCGCACACTTCAAATACCACGCAGCTGACTTCTTACCGCTGCAAAAAGGCAGTGACATTTAGATGACTTTAAACCAAATAACAGGCTCAGCAGTTGGACCTGAAAAAAATCATGACGTTCATTTCTCAATTTCTCGGCTGGTGGTCAGAGAAGGTAAAGATCGCCTTTAAACGGGCAGCTTCGGGTTTTTATTTAAATTCTCTTCGTGTCCTGGCATATGAGCAACATTCAGAGATGTGCCTGGAGTCCCTAAAAGGAACAACTGTAGACAGACATGTGCTCTGTGTCCGAATTACCTGCATCTGCATCAATATATGTCACCTATAAACACATACCGGAAGCCAAGCCTCCAACTGCACTGTTCAGTCTGAGGTCGGGCATGAGCCTCACACGGCGATGAAGGTCGTGGTTCCGCATGTCTTTGTGTTTCCTAGCTTCTGCTTCACATGTAGAAGCTGTGTGGTTAGGCTCACAGTGGTTCATAGAACTTCACTGACACCATATAAATTACATATTTATATACACATGCATACTATTTACCCTGAATTGTACTGTTTGCCTTTCTTTTTATATGTATTTGTCTGTTGTATCTTCTCCCATCCCCTTGTTTTGTTTCGTTTCATTCTAGTTGTGTCTTGTACAAGCAGCAGAGTGTATTTTGCTTTTTTTTTAAACCCGATCTGAGCACCTTTTAATTATAGAATCATCAGTTACCAAAGTGGGAATGAATCACGTTTGAAAATATTCCTCTGTTACGTTTTCCACTTATTATTTCTGTGGTTGCCTGTCCCTTTGTTGCCATTCCTGAATTCCCCCCGACGGGGCAGACGTGTTTTCTCCCGCAGCGACGCAGTGATTCTGTGCTGCCCACGAGCGTGGCATCGGACGAGCACGTCTTGGCCCACACGGACCCGTCGGCGTCAGCAGCGGAACCGAGCCCACCGGCTGCCGGACAGGGGCGCTGCTTGAACACGTTACCTCCTCCACCTTCCTACCCCCCGGTTTTGCTAAGATACTAATTTAGAATTTTAGTTCCGGGTTATTTTTTAAACACTATTCCTTTTTCATGTACGAGCCCCCTCTTAACAACTGCCTCACACCCAACCCCACTATCAATAATCACGCAGATGGATTGGTTGACTGTTCATCCTCCTCAGTTCCCCTCCTTTGAGCTACTGATTTTCACAGTCTGGTGATTTATTATTAAATGTCGTGAATACTGTCCTAGGTGACTTACTATTGGTGTCTGACACGGGCTCCACCAGGATCTGGCAAACTGTGGCAGACCACCCACCAGCTACCTGCTGGTGTCAATAAAGTTTTATTGGCACAGAGCCACCCACTGGTCCAATACTGCCCGAGGCTGCTTTTGTGCTAGAGGCAGATGGAATCGTCATGACAAGTCTGATGGCCCACAAGGCCTGCAATATTTCCTATTTGGCCTTTACAGAAAAACTTGCCAACCCTGGTCTAAGCTATGACTTGATTCCCCGGCAGGTAGATCCGTAGTGGAGCCCCCAACCCACCCACAGGGATGGGAGGGCCCTGCACAGGTGTGAGGTTCACCTGTGCTAAACAGAGGGCGGGTAGGATGCGACCCCAGGAGCCGCTCACGGCTCCTCTCCCGGGAGCTCCTCTCCCTGGGAGCGCTGCGGGTTGTGCGACCTGCGGGCCTGCCCTCATCACAGCGATGCCGCAGACCGGGTGCCCTAGCCAGTGTCTCGTGGGGTCTTTCCCTTTTACACTTGTTCTGGGTGAAGTCACTGGGAGGCTGGGAAGGAGAAAGCCAAGCACGTGTTCTTAGGTTGCTCGCTTGGTCCTCTCCTCTGCAGTGCATTTCGATGAACGAACTGCGTTTACTTAACAGCCGCACCTCAGGTTCACTTCAGGGCAGAGCCTCTTAACCTCTGCAAGTGCAACGCCCAGGAGGATTCTGGACTTTCCAGATCCATCGGTCGGTCGGTCAGCAGCCCGAGGGATATTTTAGTGCTTGTCCTCAGAGCCTGGTGCCACCTGCCCTTCACGGCGAGGTGATGGTGGCGCCGATCTGTCACATGCTCTCCGCAGGCCTCTGTTCTAGCTGTGCCAGGCCGTGACTCGATCAGAGCTAATCCAGAACCAGTGGAATCCTGGACGCCAGGGAGAAGGGTCCTGGGTGAGTCTGAGGAGCTGGTGCCGAGAGGGAGGGCTCTGCAGAGACCTGGCCACCAGTGTGAGGCCCCGTTCACGGTGCTGAGCCCCGGAGTGAACGCGTGGCCCGAGGGAAGAGGAAACCCCAACATCATCATCATGAGGCCAGACGTCTCGCCCTGGCTGGTGAGGAAGTCACAGGACCTCCAGAAGGTGACTGACTGTAAATATCCAGGAAGCCCTGCCCTGGCGGGTACGGCTCAGTGGATAGAGCCTTGGCCCGCAGACGGAAGGGTCCTGGGTTCGATTCCACTCAAGGACACGTACCTGGGTTGCAGGCTCGATCCCCACCACGGTCGGGGTGCATGTGGGAGGCAGCCAATCAATGTGTCTCTCTCACATCGATGCTTCTCTCTCTCTGTCTCTCCCCCTCCCTTCCACTCAATGGAAAAATATCCTTGGGTGAGGATTAACAACAACACCAAAGATCCAGGAAGCCTGCCGATCCCGGCCTCGCAGGCTTATCACCCGGTGCGCGCTCACCTGTATGTCATCCATGGGCTGCGAGCCGTCCTCGGCCTCCGCACTGTCCCGGTAGGGCCCCATCTCTGTGTGCGCCACCTCTCTGCTAGCCATCATCAGGACGCTCATGGGCTCCCGTGGTGGCACCTGTGCAGGTGCTGCCTCCTTTCCTACACTGGTCCCCTTCGGACTGCCCGTCACCTGCACTGTAGACACACCAATGGAAAGATCTTTGGGACTCCACCTCACTACAGGCTGGGGCTGGGCCGCAGCGGCTCGGAGTCCCGCCGGCTCCGGAGAGGGAGGGGAGGGTGCCCGGCTGCAGGCCCTCGCGCCTTCCCTGGGGCTGAGAGTCTCGGGGGCGGCCTGCTTAGAACTAGGGCTCTGCTTCCTGATCCTGGGCTGCTCCAGGCTCAGTGCAGTGGACAGCAGCTCCTCCTGCCTCGCCTGGAAGGACTCGGGGTTCAATTTATGCTTTTTGGGAGCTGGATAATCTTTGTGGCTCTCACTGCTGTAGTAATTAGAGGGTTCAGACCGAGGTCTTCTCAGCTCTGAAAAGCACAGTAGAAAGGACAGTCAGGACAGGCGATCAGATCAGGAGCCCTAACGAGCTAACGCGCCCTCTAGGCCCGGGAGACACCCAGGGCGAAGCCGGGCCTCAGACACGTCCCTGCCGTCTACACACCCCCCCGAAGCATCTAGTGGACTCAGATCCTCCTCCTCCATCACTGCAGTTCTTTCTTGCATGGACATAGTTTTTTTTTTCTACTTTCTGCATTTGGGGGGTAGGGAGCTAGGGGAGTCACACTAGGCATTCTTACAGCTAAAAGGCAACTCAGAGATAGAAACCCCCCCAAACCCATCAGTGAGCACCCTAAGGCCTCTCCTGAGGGACAGCACCTGGGGGCTCGGCACGTCTGGGATGCGGTAACTCCGAGTTCTTACCCGGATTGGTGCTTGCAATGACGGTGACGCCTTTGGGGATTTCTGGAGAGGCGATGGCCTCGCTGTGCCACTGGGCCATCCAGCCGTCTGCATGGGGCTCCTCGCTCGGGGGACAGTGGATTCGGGGGCTCTGTCCCAGCGGAGCCTGCTCCCCTCTCTGCAGGTGCTCGAGACACTCGGCTAACTTCACGTGACCCCGCGACCTGGCGATCCCCAGAGGCAGCCTCCCCAGGGAGTCGGGGATGGAGATGGCCCGCCGGTCCCACTTGTACAGCACGACCGCGGCCTCCAGGTGCCCGAGGGCGCACGCCCACATCTGAAAGACGGAGACAGCGCGGCGCTCTTAACGGCGAGTTCCAAACAGACTGCATTCGGCTGCTGCGGCCTGGTCCTCGCTGGCTCCCTCCACGGGGCCACGAAACATCATTGTCGCAAAGTAGCCCGGATAGACGTCACGTGTCCATGAGGGACCACGCGGGGGCCCGGCCTGTGCCCATCCCTCTGCCCGCCTGGAGAAGCGGCATGGGGACCAGTGAGTGTCCTCTTACCAGGGGGGTGCAGGAGAAGTGGTCCACGTTCAAGGGGTCGACTTCCAGCTCCAGATCGATGCTGTCCGCGTGCTTCGTGCTGTAAAGGGAGGGGCCGGCAGTGACCGCCCAGTGAGTCCACGTGGACAGGAAACCCCTGACACGTGCACACCCCACAGGCGCGAAACCGAACGGCGCCTCTAACCCCCGATGTGCAATAGACTCTGAGCTTCACAGGGCGGCCTGGAGTCTCTCCACTTGGCGAGGCCCCAGAGGAAGGAACAGGCCCAACATTCAGTTGGCATCTCCCTGAGTGTTTCTTGGGCAGAAGCTCATAAAACTCCCTTGGAAACCGCCCCCAGAGAAGTCCTGGCTCACAGGCCAGACTGCACCCTGAGACCCTGAGTGGCCAGACCTTGGTCCCCTGGTGAGCCGCTGGGGAGGGGGGGGAGAGGGGGGCGGGTAAGTGCGTGTGGAGGGGGCGACCGGCCTCACCGCCACTTGATGAGGGTCTGGATGAGGGTGGCGTAGCCCTGGGCGGCCGCCAGGTGCAGGAGCGTCATCCCGCGGAACGTCTTCGAGTGGATCAAGTGCTTGGACTTCGCCCAGCAGGCCCGGCTCATCATCTTCTCGCACACGACGACCACGCGGCTCTCGAAGCAGCTGCCCAGCGTCCCCGGGCCCGGAGCGCACTGCGGAGAGAGCACAGGGAAAAGGGCACGTGAGGCTCGGAGGCCCCGAGGCCCCGCGGCAGGACCGCAGCCGGAGCTTCGTGATTGGCAATGCGAGGCGGGAGCCACAGGCTGAGAATGGGCTGTGAGGCAGAGATGAGAGGGTGCTCAGCTCAGCCTGCGGCTCGAACCCACCACCATAAGCCCCAGGAAGTTCAACTGCTACAGAAATGCTGTTGCTCCTCATTGTTTTTCCGTTAAGTCTGGGGAAAAAAGCCTGCGAGAATAAAACGGCAGAAGATGGCAATAATGTCATCTCACTAGAGCTGTAAGAGCATCTTTGAAAGCACAGCTGGGCTAGAATGACCTTGACCCAGAGTCCGGGCAGAACTGCTTCCTATGTAGTGGGCATGCCCACAGCACGTGGGATTCACCAGGGAGTGAACAAAGAGGGATTTAAAAAAAAATCTTCACTCGAGGATATTCTTTCCATTGATTTTTTAGAGAGAGTGGAAGGGAGGGAGGAGGGGGAGAGAAGAAGAGAGGGGGAGCGAGACAGAGAGAGAGAGACATCGATGTGAAAGAGACACATCAACTGGTTGCCTTCCACACGTGCCCAGACCGGGCCCGGCGAGTGAACCTGCAACCTAGGTACATGCCCTTGATAGGGAATTGAACCCTCAGCCCTTTGGCCTGAAGGCTGATACTCTAACCACTGAACACACTGGCCAGGGCAAGAGGGACTTTTTTTGCATTCAACAAAAACAGCCACGTCTCCAGCACGTCAGGTGGACACGGATACGTACTGAAGCCAAGTTAAATCGGTGAACGTGTGATCACCAGCAGCTAACAGGGGGTCAGGTTATACCAGGACACTGGCTGAGCGGCCGAACTGTAAAAAGACATCCTATTCCCTGATGCAACCTTTGTGGACTACAGGAAAGTGATGTCAAGGGAATCTCTTACTTTAGCTGGGAGCACAGTAAACAATGATTACTTCTTTTATAAACCTTCATGGTACCGGTGAAAAGAAGCCTATCTCAGCCTGAGGGATATTCTACGGTGTGCCCGGTCTATCCTTTTCCACCGATTTCTGAGGGTAGGTGAAAAATGAGAGGAAAACTTAGGGGAAAAGAGGATGTTAGCTTTTGGGGTGTGGTATATTATGCCTTACTTTCATCTATTATTACAAATATTATCAACCCTTGATATTCACAAGGATCACAAAACTCAGTGTTCACTTCATGTAATTGTTCGAAGAAAATCATTCCTTTTGAAGAGGAAGAGGGGGAATTATGTGAGGTTTTGGCAACGACTCGGTAGCAGAGGGAAGAAACTCCCAGTCCCTTTGCATTTATCCTGGGGCCTCCTGAACGATCACTGTTCCCTCGGAGAGGTTCCTGAAATGAAGCTCCTAAACGAAATGTACATAAAGCCTTCGAGACTCTCAGGACCCTGAAACAGCATGTGGTGCTGTCCCTGTCCTGGGCAGGAGGGGGCGCCCTTCATGAAATCCATGAACAGGCACACGCGCGGAAGATGGCAGAAAGAACACTGCTGTTTTTACTGAAAAATTACCCAAACGGTTTCTCCGGGCCCTTTTCCTGTTGGTCTTCTTGAGTTTCTACAGGCTCATGAATGACCAATTGAATTCAGTGCCGTTGTACATTTAGAGCGAAGACAGAGACAGACTACAAAACGCAAACTGGATTCTAACTGAAGTCTGTGCCCGCAGCCCTGAGTCACCACAGGCCTCACTCCCCGCAGGTGACAGCGGGCGGGCGGCCCGAGACCAGGGACAGGGTCCGAGGCCCAGGGAGGAAGCACGGGGCCGGGAAGCAGCCCTCGGACTTCGGCCTCAGCCAGGAATGACCCAGCACCAGCACAGGGACCGTGGCCACTGCCTGCCTGTCCGATCAGTAACAAATCACACAAAACCGAAGACGACCGTCACTTCAGGGGGTACCTGGGCTTGACTTCCGCCGTTCCCGCTGCTGGCGCCCCCGCCGCTGCCGCCTCCTGCGCTCCCCGGCTTGTGCTGCTGGGACCCCGTCATCTCCGCCATCCGCCGCTCCATCTGCTCCAGCCGCTCCAGGATGGACATCCTGAACTGGTTGTCTAGGGCGGGACGAGGAAGAGGGAGGTTGGTGCTGGAAGAAGTGCAGCTCGCAGTGGCCTGTCCACGCCCGCAGGGCCGGAGCCTCCTTCCCTGAACCAGCCACGGAGGCTCGCCCAGCCTGGGTTCGTCCCGTGGCAGCGAGTCTGACGCCGCACACAAGATGGGGCATCTCTGTGGCCCCACGTTCTCAGCTGCTCGAACAGAAGAACCCCTTTTTGTCAGAGTCCTGCTTTGGGGTTCCTGGCACCCCATTCCCCAGTGGAAACCTTAAAGAGATCGGGGAGAGGGGCCCCGAGCACAAATGGAATGAGTACAACTTCATTTAAATCAGTGGGGAAGGGTACAGACACGCATTTTTGAGGTATCACCTGTTTTACCCAAACATTGGGGAAAATGATTTAAAAAAAATTTTTTTTGTTAATCCTCACCAGAAGGTATTTTTTTCCATTGCTTTTCAGATAGAAGGGGAGGAGGAGTAGGAGAGACACACAGAGAGAGAAACATTGATGCGAGAGAGACACATTGACCGGCTGCCTCCCGCTCACGCCCCGACTTAGGCACGTGTCCCTGGCTGGGAATCGAACCCTCGACTCTTTGGTGCACCGGCGATGCTCCAACAATGAGCCACAGTGACCAGGGTGGGAAAAAATGTTCTGAGAATTAAACGAGTTAATACACGCGCAGGTTCAGAACACGGTTAAGTCCCAGATTCGCGTGCCAGCCATCAGCATCTTCAGACACACGACCTAAATGTCCTTGGACACCAACAACAGCTGTGACAACGTATTCCCCCCTCCTGTTGCTCAGGGCATAATGATTTTCCAAATACAGCCGTCCGACCATGAAAAGGAATAACTCGGAAAAGAAACACTTTCTCGGCATTCCTTGCCGTCCTGACTGTAAATCCTGACACAGGTGATTAAGGCTTATTGGTTCTCCTGGCGATAAAACAACGGACCGGATGCTTCCTCCGTGCCAGTCACCGCTTTACAAATATGAACAACGGTCAGGTGAGGTCGGGACGGCTGTGATCCTATTTCTCAGATGCGGAAACTGAGGCCGGGGAGATAACCATCTATCTGGCTCGAGGACCGGGGCTTCACCGCTGTGTGGGTACCGCAGGAAGGAAAGTTACAGGAAGAGAAGAGGCACACGGATCAGAGAGTCTGAGCCCAGGGAACGGAACATTTTCTCACAGTGAAAACACAGCCTATCCCGTTTCCCAGGAAAACTTCCGGTGCTGGGTGTCGAATGGATTTCACTTCACTCAACCGCAAGAGCAGGAGGAAAACTACTTTTCAAGAACTGATTCGGTTCCCAATGAGCTACTTCCAGGAGCAACACCCAGAGAAAAGCTCCTCCTCTTTCAGCGCGAAAGGCAAGTCGCACAGCAGACGGATGACAGACGTGAGAGCCTGCCGCCTGGCGTCTCCGTGGCTGTCACCCGTGGGAAGCAGCCCATGGGGTGGACTGTACACGGCCCATGTCACGTGGGACCAGCAACGGCAAACGTGGGACGACCCCAGAGGTGGCGCTGGAATCCTTCCTCATGCCAACCCCCTCCCCCGTTAGGAAACGGAAATTTTGCAGAATCAGGGCTCCTGCATGTGGAGCTGGCTGAAGACTAAGAGTTTCATCTTCCAGTTAGAGCCTGATTCCTGGTGGTGTAGCAGTATCCTTCGTGGTGTCTTTTTTTAAAAAAATATATTTTATTGATTTTTTACAGAGAGGAAGGGAGAGGAACAGAGAGTTAGAAACATCGATGAGAGAGAAACATCGATCAGCTGCCTCCTGCACACCCCCTATTGGGAATGTGCCTGCAACCAAGGTACATGCCCTTGACCGGAATCGAACCTGGGACCCTTCAGTCCGCAGGCCGACGCTCTATCCATTGAGCCAAACCAGTCAGGGCTTTTGTGGTGTCTGTATGGACTTTTCCTTACTCCTGATGGTGCCGGCCAGACAGCCACCCCTCTCTGCACCTACGTGCGGGAGCTCCGCGCCCCAGTGACGTGGTCAGGCCTCTGTCGCCCTCCGACTGTCTTTCTGGCAGCCCACGGACGCTGAGTCTATTACATGAGTATTGTGAGCACACGTGCATGTGTTTGGAGCTGGTGGCCAAGATGAACCCTGTCAGGGAAGGAGCAGAAGGCACGGAGGGCTGCCCAGCTGTGGTCAGCCCCGAGGGAGCCCTGCGGCCGTGCCCGCGGCCACCTCCCTGTCCATCCGAGTGGCTTTGTTCTGGCTCCGCTGCCGTGCGCTGGCCTGTCATCGCCACCCCTCCCCCCGCCCGGTGTGGGCTCTGCAGAGACAGACAAAGCCTCCCTGACACCACGGGGCCAGGCCCTGCCCACGGCACCGCCCGTCAAAGCAACCGACAGTTGCCCCGCCGCTGACACGGTGACTCGGTGTCTGCCACGGACAGATGGACAGACAGACCGACGTCTCTGGCTTCTGCTCTGGGGCTGGTGTTCCCAGCCATCCCCCCAGCTCGCTCTGCAGGGAGCTCTCGGACGCAATTAAGCTGCTCTGAGAAGCACTTCATGAAGACACTCGAGCAATTACCTGCCTCTTAACCAAGTTACATTGTGCATTAAGGCATCTCGGGGCCTCTCGGCTCCAAAGGGGGTGGGGTGGGGAGATGAGTCATGTCAGAGCCATCTCACATGGAAACAACGGAGCCGCATCCAGGGCGCGGCGAGAGGCCGAGTCTGTGGTCCCGCGCCCTCTCCTGGGGCGGGGCAGGGGCGAAGACGGCGGGCACAGCTGCCCGCGTGCAAGGCTCACGCACACACACTATCTCGGTCTTCACATCTCCCTTCCTGGCAAGTCAAACGCAGCAACTTCACGCTTGGTCTGGCCTGGCAGCTTCATGATGGCCACTAACACGTGACTGTAAAATACTTGGCAAATTCAGCATGTCACCTTCGCTGCACATGTGTGAGGGTGATTACAGGATAAAGGAAATATAATTTCTTAGAAGACAAACTTCTCCTGATTACACTGGAGTAAGAAAAGCACATGTGAAGACTCATTTATTCTCGAAGATATTTGCTGGGCACCCATGTGTACCAGGCCTGGGAGGGGCGCCTTGACCATCAGTGACGATAGCCCTGCCCGCATTTGTTGGCCAACAAGTAACTCCCGCGGCCTAAAGGGGGGGTAGTTTTCAACCAACATGTTGGGGGTCAGAGAGAGAAAACAAATAACCTAGGAGCTGAGAGATCTGGCCCACTTCTCGCCCATGACACTCAAACAAAGCCCACGTGACTCTGCTTGAGGGATTCCACGCATCGCGGGAACAAGGCTGCCCGCAGCAGGCGGGAGCACGTCCCGAGCGCACGCGGGAACAGCCGGCCGCTCTCTGGGCTTGGGCTCCCGCCTGGCGCCGCCTGGCTTTCGGTTCTCGGCTAGAAGCTCTGGCTACCTCCTCTCACCAAAGAACATGTCGCTGCTTGTGCAGAAGGGTCTCTAGTTTTTTAAAAATAGGTTTTTATTGATTTCAGAGAAAGAGAAAGGGAGAGGGAGAGAGATGGAAACAGTGATGAGAGGGAAACATCGATGGGCTGCCTCCTGCACGCTCCCTACTGGGGAGCAAGGCCGCACCCCGGGCACGTGCCCTGACCGGAAATGAAACTGGCAATCGCTTGGTGCACAGGATGACACCCAACCCACTGAGCCACACGGGCCGGGCAAGGTTCTCCCGCTTTTCACACCCCTGGGTAAGCCACGTTCTGAGCCCCGGCTCTAAAGACCAGCAGGCCCAGGTCTGCAGCCTCCACTCTGCAGCGCAACCTCTGGGGTGGGGGGAGGGGAGGGTGTCTGGGCACCCTCTGTGCATTTCTGACAAGTTCTCAGGTGACGCTGAGGCCGCGTTTCAGGAACCGCGGTGCCACGACCAAGCCTCCTTCCCCGAGCGTGAACCTGCCCCCCAGGAGCTGCTTAAAGACGATCGAGGAGCCACCTGGTCGAGCAGCAGCACAGGTTCCTACCCAGGGACACAGGAGACATCACCTCCTGTGATCACGCCAGGCCCCTGCACACGGCTCGGTCCACACGCCGGCTGCACCCTCTCCGCGGGCGCACGGCTATACCGACAGGACAGCCCTTGCAAACCACGGGAAACCCTCCCACCTGCGCTGCTCTGCACCCTCAGCACCCACCACGGCCCCCTCCTCCTGCTTCTCTCAGCTGACCTGTGGGACGCCTTCCAGGTGTCTGCCTGTGCCTCTGGCTTTTCTCGAAAGCAGCCCATTTACCTGCCCAGTTTCAGGGAATGAGGACTTTCAACTGACACGCCATTCCTTCCAGTACCTTCCAGATGTACGGCGCGCGAGCGCGTGCGCGCGCACACACACACACACACACACACACAAACACACGCACCTGCACCCCAGAAAAAAAGCCAACAATTCTGACGGCTTTGCAGCAACAGTCTGGCTTGGGATTCGCTCAAAGTCGCCTCACGGGTCTGTCCGACCTGCACCCCCTTTGAGCGGAAGCAGCATTTTTATATTAAAAAAATTTTTAAATATATTTTTATTGATTTCAGAGAGGAAGGGAGAGGGAGAGAAACATCAATGATGAGAAAGAATCATTGATCGGCTGCCTCCTGCACACCCCACATTGAATATCGAGCCCACAACCCAGGAATGTGCCCTGACTGGGAACCAAATTGTAACCTCCTGGTTCATAGGTCGATGCTCAACCCCTGAGGCACGCCGGCCGGGCAGAAGCAGCATTTTTAGACTGGGCGGCTCTGAGAGAGGGTGGGGAAGCACTGGAGTGGAGCTAGAGCTCTGGGTTTAATCCTGCCACCGTGTGACTTAGGAAAAACAATGGCCACTTTGCCCCTCAACTCCCCCATCTGTGAAATGGGGACAGTGCTATCTATCTCATCGTTGTTTGTGAGGAGGAAATAAACTACTGGGTGAAAGCTCTTTAGTGGTCAGTGTCTCTTTAGTCTGAGTTATTGTTAGCCATAGCTATGGGGGCATTT